GTGTGTGTGTGTGTGTGTGTGTGTGTGTGTGTGTGTGTGTGTGTGTATGTATGTATGTATGTATATGTAACTTTGGGGAGTTGATTTCTTTGCTTCTGCCACCTTGCTCCTGGGCGGCAAACTCAGAGCTTCAAGTTTCAATGGCAAGCACCTTTACCTGCTAAGCCATCTCTCCAGTCCTTACTCAATCCTTTATGATTGGTATTCCAAAATTATCCATTATTTCAGTAATGCTTTTTATATTACTGTTATAACAGTTAAAACAAAAAGCCAAAGGCATATGTAGACTATGAATACAAAGAAAAAGAAAGCCATGTTGTCTTCTTGTTGCATATGTGGCTCCCAGGCAGCCGGCGTTCTTAACCACAAAATCATCTGCAGCCCCTCATGCCAAACTTCTGATGAAATGCATCAGGACAGTTTTTAACTGTTAAATACAAGTGCTGATAATGCTGGTTGAACCCTTTTTTCCACCTTGATTCTGTTGAACTGTGCAGATTCTTGTCTTTGTTCTAGTACTGACTCCATTTTATTCAATGTCTTTACTGTTTAGGTGGAGAAATACGCTAAAGTAGAAAAATCCATCAAATCTGATGACTCCCAACCAACAGTCTGGCCAGCTCATGTGAGTAATCAGGGCCAGTCTCTTTCACTGATGATGCAGTTTGCCTATGTATGTTTTGTTTTCTTTTTTGTCTTGTAGCCCAAACTGGCCTCCAACTTGCAATGTAGTCAAGGCTGGCCTCGAACATGTTGATACTCTTGCTTCTCCTGCCCAAGTGCCAGATATGCCCCACCATATTTGGCTAACAATGTTGTTTATGAACTGGGCTCTGAATTTATTAAACAGAAAATTATTTTTAGCGTATAACTTTTTTTAAAAGTACAATTTGAGCTCTTGTGAATGTCCAGAAAAATAATTAGTCATAAGTGTACTTTTCATTTTACAGAGACGTTTTATTGTAACACTACATTTTATGTGTGGCATGGTAGCCTATGCCTATAATCTCAGCTCTTAGAGGCAGAGGCAGGGAGCTCCCATGTTGAAGGCCAGTCTGGGCTACTACATAGGGAGCTACACAAAAACCAAACTAAGAGTCAAGCCCAATGGTACATGACTATAAGTCTAGAACTAAGGAAACTGCTGCTTGAAAAGGATGTCTTTGACATCATCCTGGACTCCATAGTGTGGTAGTATACTACATATATATCAATATTATGTATACATGTTTCATACATATAATATATTCTGAGTGATCTAGGCTTACCTGGAATTTTGCTGTGTTTACCAGCTGGACTTGTTATCATTCTGCTGCTTCTGCCTCCTGAGTGCTGGGGTTACAGGCTTATGCCACATGGCTGGCTTAAAGATAGCTCTGAATGAAAGTCATCTGATTTTCTCGTTGTAATACTTTCTTAAATGAAGAAACTGAATTATATTTTGGATGGACTCTAGGGGCAAAGTAATAAAATTTATGGACATTTTAAGGATGTTTTATATGACTGGCTGATGACTAAAGACATTTTGCTTTCAACCCTTATTTTCAGGTTGTTATATATGGCAGTTGTATATGTAGTGTATGAAGCTCTGTGCATATCTCTCCATCTTGATGAGATGCAGCATGGGAACACAGCATAAAGCACTGAAAAAAGGGTTCTATGCAGTAGTTCTCTATGAGGGTTTGGGCTGTTACAGTCCTTCACATTTATTTATTTGTTTATTATTTGTGAGACAAGGTCTTACAAGGTCCTAGCTGGCCTGGAACTTACTGTCTAGACCAGGCTGGTCTTGACCTCAAAGAGGCCTGTCTCTCAAGTGCTGCTGTGAAAGACACCACTACACATGACCAGTTTATTTAACTGTAATGTGGAAATTGCTATGCCAGTCATGGGTTTTGTTTGACATTTGGATGAGATACTACTTGTTGAGGTCTGTGGCAATATTCAGTAAACATTTGTCATAATTTTCATTATGTGTGTTTCTTAAAGTATGACTCAGTATCATATATAATCATCCTGAGCTTGGTTGTTTTATACTGCCTTCAACATTTCTTTAATGCCATGTTTATACCAGACATTAGTCAGCATTTATTTATTTATTTATTTATTTATTTGTTTGTTTGTTGATTTTTTTTGCTGCTTGAGAAGAAATTATTGGGGATTCTCTCTCAATTTCAGGATGTAAAAGACGATTATGTATTTGAATGTGAAGGTGGTAATCAGTATCAGAAAACAAAGCTGACCATCTTACAGTCTCTTGGTGATCCACTTTACTATGGTAAAATCCAGCCGTGGAAAGCAGATGAAGAAAATGACAGCCAAATGTCTCCATCCCAGTGAGTTCTGTTGAGTACACGTAATAGACAGAGGCCGTCCAGAACCTATTTAGAGCTACCAAGGAGCTGCCAAGTATTGAAAACAGTTTTCCTCTAGGGATTTGGTGTTTAATATATACATACCGGTGCATTTTGACAGTGGATGTGAGTAAAGTTGAAATGCAGTTGCCAAGTTCTCAAGTTATTTATAATTATTTATTTTTTAAAGTGCAGATAATTATTTTTGTGATAGTCTTGGGATTTTGCTATTGGCATATTTATATTATTGGCAATTTCTGTAGTTGATTTTCTGAAAAGTACATCATTAGTACAGGGTACTTATACAGAGTTTTGACTTGGGGGTTGGGGAGTTTGTGTAGGGTCTGTGTAGCCAGCCCTGGCTGGCCTGGAACATGCTATGGAGACTAGGCTGGTCTCTAACTCACTGAGGTCGCCCGCCTTTACCTCTGCCTCCTGAGTGCTGGGATAAATTTGATTGTATGGCTACTTTTATTATTAGTTTGTTTCTGAAAATCACATTTATACTGTTTTGAAAAATAGAAAAGAGCTAATGAAAATGAAAAAAAAAAGGAAGAGTTCAGTGGTATGTCAAATTATGGTTAAAACCTTTACCAAAATTGATGTGAAATTTGTGAAGAATGATTAGTTTTAGAGTTACTTCACTCATACCTAGGTAAGAGTCAACAAGAACGAGCAACAATTCCTCAGCTTACAGCATTTCTGAAATTCTTTCCCCAAAGACACATTCAGCACTGTAAATGTGCCGACATCTCTCTATAGAGTAAGGGCGCAGTAGTTACTCCTTTGTGCAAGTTCAGTTCCCATGGCCATGGGACTGCTTTCAGAAGACAACTGGTACATCTGCTGTTATTCTGCAGGATCTGTGCTCATCCACATTCTTCCATTTTTAGAAGTAAGAGCTGTGCAGTTTAAGTTTGACCTGCCGTTACTGAGTGCTTTTCTTTCACATTTTGTATTTCAGCTCCTCCGCAGATGATCATTCAAATTGGTAATTAAAAATAAGACTCATTTGTTTTTGTTATGTTATCTTGTCAAACTTAAAAAAAACGAACAAACAAACAAAAACCTTAGAAAAGATTTTTGTTTGAGTTGGCAATAAGCTTTCATTTTTGTCTAAAATAATTTTAAGAATGACTTCCAGAATCGAATTAAATGAATGGAAAGCCACAGGCCTTTTAGTAACTCAGGGAAAATGTTTGTAAACTGTGTAGTGGTACTTGGTAATTTTATTCCAGATTGTGTAAATTATAAATAAACATTAAAACAAATTTTCCTAAGGTAAATGAGCTAAATTGATTATTTTATGATGAATGTAAAACTTGAACATTGTTTCTCAAGTTTACTATTTTAATTTAATGATACATTGGTAGATTTAAAATGAGTTCATAATATATTGCTATGACTAAAAGAAAGACTTTAAAGATTAACACAAGATGTTTTAAGACAGTCTTGCCTAATAATTCCCTTTCTTGCTAACATTTTAGGTTTATTATTGGGTCAAAGACTGATGCGGAGAGGTAAAGTTCATTTTCTTCTTTATTTTTGGTCAGATTAAATATGAACCTGCATTTTTGTAGGGTAGAGTGTTTTCTGTCAGAGTCACGGATGTTGACTTCGTTTCACATTTAACTGGACAGTACATTATTTACTGTCTTGGGTTAAATCACTCAATAATAAAATCTCTGAGACCCATTTTCATGATATTTTAATGAGAATTAAGAGAACAAAGATTTTATTTAAAATACAGTTTGTTTTAGGTAAGAAAGCTTAGGTATCTGAGAAAGATGCCTTTAAGATGGAAGTTTATAATCCAAGTCTAAGGGAAAGAGAATGAGAAATTGTGTTGTCTGTTCATTGGTTTAATTATATTGTAATCAAGGATGACCTTATAATTTTTATGTTAGAAATAATATCTTAAAAATATTCCTATAATTCCTATCATGATTAGCAGAAAAGATTTAAACATTACTTTGTCACTGGAAAGATTAGAGTATGCCTCTCTTTATTACATTTATTTAGTGTGTGCTCTTGTCACTCAGAAGTTGGGTGGTATGTGTGGGAGTTGGTTCTCCTTCCATGTGAGTTCAGGGTGTATACGTAGATTGTCAGGCTTTGAGGCAAGCACCTTTATCCATCTCCACAGCCCAGAATACACTTTCTAAGACAGGATTTCCTTGTGTAGCTCAGTCTAGCCTTAGGCTCTTGACCAGTCTTTTCCTTTCTGCTGTGGAATGTGCCTGATGAGAATTCGCTTTGCAACCCTAAGCACTTGTGGTGGGCAGTTAGGGGACTACTTGTAACATTTTGATTATTCTGTTAAATTTGATGGGTCTTATTTTCTAATAATAACATTATTTTTTTCCAGTATGGTTTATCTTTAAGACAAATTTGGCCAATCCGTACCTATTTTTTTCTAAAATTTCAGGGTAGTTAATCAGTACCAGGAGTTGGTCCAGAATGAAGCTAAATGCCCAGTGAAGATGTCACACAGCTCTAGTGGTTCTGCCAGTCTCAATCCCGGGGAGGAGACAGAAGTATGTTCACACTGTTGCTACTTTATGGGTCATTGTTTCTCAGGGAGTCTCAGAAATATGAAGGGCATGGGCATTGTAGCTTTGCTTTTACTTTCAACTTTTTAAACTTGTTTGTTCAGCATTATGATAGAAGGTTTCAAAAGTACTCATTGATAGGTACAAGTTGTTACTCCTGTTAAAGGTTGGTTGAGAAGGGTGCCAGGTTTTCCTTCACTTTCTGCCCTTCCCTGGGACTCACCTTACCTCCTTAGGTATGTCATAGTCTGTGGGTATCATGTGAAACTTTGTTCCTTTGTAGTAGCTCTGATGATGAGGACTTTACAGTTAGAAATTTCATGTAGGAATTGTAATGCTATTAATTTTAATCTTAACAGTTGTGTTTAATGTCACTCCTCAGCAGTCCGAGACCGTGTCCATCCAGTCTTCAGTTTTGGGGAAGGGAGTAAAACACCGCCCTCCGCCCATTAAACTTCCCTCAAGCTCAGGAAATAGTTCCTCAGGTATTAGAGAAATCCTCGCCTCTGAAACCTAATAGTCTTCTCTTTCTTAAAACTTACTCATTTTTACCATGATAATTCGCAGAAATTTGAATTATGAATATAGGGAAAAGAATTATATATTTGTGTGTGTTCATATGAGTGTGTGCCCATGTGTATACCTTTAATCCTGGAGATATCTGGTTGGGGTGGATGGTGGATTCAAACTCTGGTTTTTATGATTGCTCAGCAAGTGCTCTTGTAACTGCTGGGCCTTCTCTAGGAAATAACTTGTGTTCTTCCAGGTAACTACTTTACAGCACAACAGGCAAGCAGCTTTCTTAAATCTCCAACTCCTCCTCCATCATCTAAGCCAAGTCTTTCTCGGAAATCATCTGTGGATCTCAATCAAGTTAGCATGCTTTCTCCTGCCGCCCTGTCACCTGCCAGCTCATCACAGAGTGAGTCATGATTTAAACTCTTGCTCTGATTTTCCTAAGTTTTTGCATTGGTGTTTCTGGAGGCAGCTTTTATTCAGTCTGTGAATAGTGAAATTTGAATGTACTATGTACCAAAAATGTGTAAGTTGCACGAAACTCCAGGTAGAGTTCTTGTTGGCTGTATGTATTTCGTGTTTACTGTAATTGTATTTGCTGTTTTGTATCTATGTATGCACTTCGTGTATACCTTTCTTTTAGGCTTCTTGCCTATCCATCTTCTCAAAAAAATGATCTGGCAATAAGATTGCAAAGTTTTATTTGCAGTGCACCCTAGGATCATTTTTCTTACTATATAAACTGGCTGATACTAAAAAGAAAATGTGAGAGTGAATTATTGGAGGCACTATCTTTGTATGTATAAGACACCAGCTGGTTCCAAGATTACATGCAATAAAATAAAAAGTGGTGTTTGAGACCACATCTACACTTCTGTAAGCTGTCACTAAAATGTGATAATCTGAACATAGGAAAATAGAATTCTCTCTTTTGGATACCCTTTTTAACAGCAAGTAGAGGCAATATAGGAATGCTAGGTTTAATTTGGGAGAATCTCTTCAGATGAATACCTGACAATGTTAGGTACTGATTTGGGGGAATTCCAGTTTTTTAGCTTTAATTTTTTTTTTCTTGGTGGCTAGTGTGTGCTGTCAGTGCACTGCACAGTGCTAAGATGGTCCTAGATATTAACATCTGCACCGATGGCTCAAAAGGTGTAATTTTTCTGCCTTCTTGTTTTGCACAAAGAAAAATAAATAAATTTCCTGAAGGTCTTATTCACACTTCTCATGTTCTGGGTATGGATGGTGGTGAGCTACTGCACACGGTTGTGTTGAGGCAGGGTGGAGTGACAGCTTCTGGACATTCACCTCTCTCTCCTTTCTTTCTGCAGGACATGAAAGCTAAAAAGGAAACACCTCAAGAGCTTTTGCTTTACTTTTTTTGTTTCATTTTTTTTTTGTTTTTATTTTTTTAAGTTGATAAAACTGTGCATACTTCATTCACAACAGATTTTCTATACATTATACATTTAAACAGAAGTACACAGTTACTGTTAAAGATGCAGTATTATCTATAAAGTACTTGATGTATTATTTGTAAATTTGTCAGGGTAAACTTGTTATGTTGAGAATTAAACATGTATATCTCGGTGCCAAAATATAACTGATAGCCTTGTGTAGCTTACTAAACATGTTCACAGTTTATCTCAGATAGTTAAACTAAATAAGCAGTATTTTTCTTTAAAGAAGTCTTGAATTAGTGGAATCACAAATAACAAAAATTAACTTAAATTCACTTTCAACTTTGTAGCCAAAAGACAGCACGTAGGAAACTAACTTTTCAGTAGGTGTTGTGGTAGAGTGTTAGTGTATTTCCCCTGTTTCTGTGATAGCATCTGGAGTGGGGTTCTTAGGTGATATACTGCATCCTTAATTGTAATTGAGTGTAGCAACCACTCGTGGATTGTGTAGAGAGTTGACACTTGCAGTTAACTGCTTTTAAAAAATTGGAACAAATTTGTCAGTGCTAAGTAAGATTCCATTAACCTTATTTTAAAAGAACTGGCCATTTATAACAAACTAGCAATTTTTATTTTTCTCAATGAGCAGGATCTGGAACTCCTAAGCCATCTACTCCTACACCAACCCCTTCATCGGCCCCACACTCTCCTGATGCTCAGAACTCAACTCCTAGTACCCCTTCAGCCACCCCATCTCCCCAAGATTCAGGCTTCACCCCTCAGCCCACTTTGTTAACTCAGTTTGCTCAGCAGCAAAGGGCTCTGAGCCAGGCAATGCCTGTGACAACCATTCCTCTTTCTACCATGGTAACATCTATAACAACAGGAAGCACGGTCTCCCCGGTCATGGCAGACTCTGCTGGGCTTAACTCCATCAGTATAGTGAGCTCTGCTGGGTAAGTTGACAATGCTAAAGACAGTTTAATTTGCAAGATTAAGACAAATGGCATATTATACTGAAAGGTGTTCTTTTTATGTAGTCAGGAGCTGCTTCCTGTGAATGATATAATTTTAGTAACAAATCTATTACCTGTACAAAGATGTATTCCACAGTTGCCCACATTTCATACTTGCCTGTGTCATTACTGTCCTTGAATCACTTGGGCAGGACTTTGCTTCTCTGTATTCTGAAGTATCTAGGGATGTGCTCATTACCTAAGCCAGCCTTGTCACACTTAAACACTAAAATGAAACTTGGCCTAGAAATTGAAATTTTAAAAAGTATTCATTTTGGGGTGTATGTGCCGCATGGCACGTGTAGAGGTCAGAGGATGACTTGTATGTTTTGGGTTTTTGTTTTTTTCTTTTACCTTTTACATTTTCAGGCTCAGTGGCAAGTGCCTGCTGAGCCATCTCACCTGCCCTAGAGGAATTAATTTTTAAGACAGAAATGATGGAATTTAGAGTTTTTTAATATGAAGAATTGTGAGGCTGGTCTTTGCTTTCACAGTGTGTAATGCTCTGTTCCTTACCCTGCAGTGGAGCCCAGGCTCTGCAGAGTGGCTCAAACTCCATGCTGGGCTGTGACACTGGTGCCATAACTCCTGCAGGAAAAAGCCTGTGCAGCAGCCTTCTGCCATCAGGAGATCTCTTAAGAAATGCACCACTCAGTGCCATGCAGGCAACTCCTCAAGCAGGTTAGAGTAAAGTACATGTGAAAGTCTTTTACTTATCCTGTTGTTGTTTTGTGTGTGTGTTTTTATGTATTTTTAAAAACAGGATCTTATATAGCTGGTCTCACCCTTGCTGTGTGCTGAAGGTGACTTTCAGCTGATTCCTGCTTCCAACTCCCAGAGATGGGATGACTGGTGTGTGTGCCCCCATGCCCCGCCATAAAAACCATCATTTTAAGCACATTACTAAAAATACCAAATGTTGTTTTTCACAAAGTTTTATATCCAGATACTTGAAAAGCCTTTTTTAGTTCTGATATCAGATAACCACCTAGCAAACAGCTTCTGGTAATAAACCTGTTAAATCTATAACTCTATGCATGTTATGTCTTCTGGTTTGGAAAAATAATAAAATTAGTTTTAGTCGCCTTATTGTGTCAATGTAGTAATAATCCAGAGAAAACAATAAAAATATATGTTCTCCTGGAAGCAATATAGCATGGCAGCTAAAAGCCTAGACTCTTATTTCTGTAATCTTGGAAAGCTGCTTTTTTGCATCATTTTTTCCCAGAAATAAAATTGTGAAATTTTACTTATTTAATAAAAATTTGTCTCAAAGACATACTTCACATGTCATTGAAGTATTTATTGTACTATAGCTGGGCCATGAGGAACATTCATGTTGACATTCTTTGTAGAAGTAGCAGGTCTTGGTAGTTATTACCATGTGGTCCAAAAGCAGTGGGAACAAGTGTGCCTGTTGTAACGCCTGGAACCAATTCTTTTTCTTACCAGTGGAGAGAGAGAGAGAGTGAGCAATACAGAAAAACTGACCAAAAGCTTTCTCATAATGTAAATATGTCGTTGGTTTCTAATTCTAGTTGTGCTTATTTTAGTAAGAAGGATCATGGAATTTAAAGTCATATCCTGCCTCCTAGATGCTTAGATTTACATGTAAGGAACTTGCAGTGTCCCAGGTTTACATGGCTCCAGTGTTGTCCTTACAGAAGATGCTAACCCTACCCAAGTCTCAGTCTCATCTGCACAACTTGGTCCGTAGGAGAAAGAGGAAGTATGCCAGTGTCTTTGAAAGCCACATACAGGGGCCATGCTCCTTTGTAAGCTCTGCCACAGTGTGGTATAAGGTGGATACCAGGACCTCCTGATACATATTTGCACATTTCTTAGTGAGAGTTCAAGCTGTTTCTCCTCAGGCACTCTTATTTTATTTTTTTTAAATGGAACACACCTGAGACTTTCTCAGTTTCTTTTACAAGCCTTGCATGACATCGCATACAAATTCTCTACATCCCTTCCTGTAAATAACATGTGATAGAGGACTACATAATGTGTTTTGTTTATGAGATCTTCCCACTTCTTCCTCCCAGATCCTGGAGGCACAGACCACCATACCTGGACTAGATGATTTTTAATCTGTATTCAGATTGATATGAACAAAACTTGCATATACTTTTTTGAACTGCTTGGGTGGTGATTTTGAGATAAGGTCTCACTTTGTAGTTCTGGCTGTCTTGGAACTCACTATGTAGATCAAGCTGGCCTTGAACTCTGAGGAGAGATACACCTCTGCCTTCTAAGTGCCAGGATGAAAGGCATGCACCACTAAGCTGGCTAATTTGCACATACTTTGAGACCAAGGTCAACAGACTGTAGGTCTACAGCCTGCCAATAATGGTTTTTCACAATTGTATGTGTAAGGACTTGTGGCTCAAGTTCAAAGTCAAGTCAGCCTGCAGGCATCTGTTCTATCCTTCACCATGTTGGGGGGTTCTGGGGCTGGACTCAGATCACAAGTGCTATTACCTGCCGAGCCATCTTGCTAGTACTTTGTTTTGCTTTTCTTTAAATTCAGAATTAATAGCCCATTATATAATAACTTTGGTTTTTATCTTTACAAAAGTCAATGTTTTTTTTTTTTTTGTTTTTTTTTTGTTTTTTTTTTTTAACATTTTGATGATTGGTATTTGGGATCCAAAATTGAACATTTATTGTATGTAACTGAGGAATGTGGACAGGTAGCAGTTAAAATGTGCTTACACAGTGATGGTATTTTTGTTATCTTCATGGTGTATATGTAATTCTAGATGACTTTCTTCAAAAGTAAGAGAAGTGAAGAAGTCTTTAAAATGTAGACTATAGTTTATACGTTGTCTTCACATCTTTGAATGTCAATATTGAAAAATAAAATGGTTCTTTTGTTGTATTTAAAAATTATATGCAAATTAGTCATTTGGAGAAGGACAATTTTCATATGTTGAAGTATAAATTTTTATTTGTAATACTTTCAGTTCCATTATAACCGTTAGTTTTATTTGACAGGGATCCCGTTTGGCTTAAAAAATACTTCAAGTCTCAGGCCTTTAAATCTTCTCCAGGTAAACATGAAACAATGCTTTTGATTTAAATTTTTATATTTATATATGTCCATATTTGAATTTTGAAGTTTTTCCAGAATTTTGTAAGGATATGTATAGTGCTACTTTTATGTAGTTCAATGGATACATGGATGCATGGATGGATGGATGCATGGTTACTAGATAGATAGATACTAGGTAGGTAGGTAGGTAGGTATCAAGAGCTGGCTGCCCCAATGGGGAGTCCTGGAAAGGCACCTGCCTACAATAATGGCAGTAGTAATACTTGCAGACATATGTGTGCTGCCTGTTCATGATGGGTTTTTGTGTTTGGAGGTTTCAAAATTTGGGTATGTATTATTTTCTCCAAGGAAGATTATGCTTTAATACAGTGACAGATAACTACTAGTCATTCTGTTAAGTGTTTGTTGCATCTAATATATATACCTTTTTTACATTACTGTGTCACTGTGCCCGTAAAGCAATAGAAAATGGAGCCTGAGTAGTAGAGCATCTGCTTCACATAGGCAGGGCCTTATGAAGACATAGCAATGCCTGAGAGAAAACTAAAGAATAGAGTACTCAGGGTCCCATGCTCATTCCTTTACTTACTGGCCCCTCCATCTGCTCCTAGTTACTTATCCCATTACCCTCTCTTGTTCAGCTTTTCCTTCTTTATCTGTAATTCTTTTTAATTATCATATAAAATAATGGATTTCATTATGGCATTTTAACCCGTGTCCTTTTCTTCACTTGTATTAGCTCCTCTTCCTAACCTGCTTCTACACTGGCCCACTTTCTTCTTCCACATAGTACCTGCCCCACTTTGAGTCTGTGCCCAACTGTTTAACATTTAGACTCTACATACTGGTAGATGATTGCTATTTCTTTTGTGCTTTTCTGCCATTACCCTCAACTTGGTTTGCCCTCTTACCCAAGCTATTAAACTAGTAATTTGGAAACTGGATAGTTTTAGAGAACATAAATATCTCATGATAATGCAGAGCTGTGGATTGTTGGGAAATAACAGTAACTGACAGACCAGCCAACCTCATCTGCAGAAATAACTGATTGGGAAGTTTGCTATGAACTAAAACTATTTTCTATACATAGTATAAATATGCTGTCAGTACTTGCAGGCCAGTTGCAGAACCATGCACTGGTAATGTGGACACAGCTAGAGATCATGGCTTTAATTAGAATTACTTTTCTTTATATTGTGTTATCATGTGTCTTAAGAAGTCTTTTTTGACAGAAATAAAAAGGAATGAGGACAAAGCCACCTGTCTGCTAGTAAAGCAGAAATGCTGAGGCTGAACTATGTCAGATTTAGTGGGTTTCATTTTCATAACCAAAGGATTGCCATTTTAAAATTGAATTTGGATTCAGAATAAGAGCAACTTAGAGTCTCCACAATAAAAGCACTTTCTTATCAGCTCTAGAACTCCTCATCCCATTGTATTAAAATGGTAATTTTTAAGGCTGTTGGCAAGACTAGAACAAATTTGGGGGGTAGGTTGTCTTACATTTCTGAATCATAACTTTTTGATTTCTGAGACAGGGACAGCATGTAAAGCTCAGATTGGCTTTGAACTGTCCCTTCTGCTTCAGCCTGCTAAGTGTTAGGAGTGCAGGCACCACAGTATGTCTCTGTGCCCAGCTAGTGTGTTTAGTTCATATGCATGCAGTGATCTTTTGTACTGATCCACGAGGATCAGTAAATGTTCAATAAACAATAGATTTGGATAGCTAGCTATTAACTTGAAGGTAGAAGATTTATATTTGAAAATAGTAATATTTTAAGGGACCAAAATGCAGTAGTACTTAAAAGTAGTTTCTGGGTATTGCCTGATTAAGGGCAGGCAACTTGTTTCATTTTGCTTCTGTGTGGTGTGTGAAGAGGGGCTAGAGCTACAGCAGCAGCTACTGAATTCCGGCCTCTGCCCAGCTCCTCTTGCTGTTTCCTTGGAGCCTAGAAGAGTATTTGTAAGGAAATTTACATATTTCACATGAAAACAATGGAAAGGCAGCTAATTCTTGTTTAAATTCTGAATAGCTTCCTGGTGGTTCACTCATTTTCAACACCCAGCAGCAACAGCAGCAGCTGCAGCTCTCTCACTTTGTACAGCCTCAGCAGCCTACAGCTTCAAGTCCCCAGCAGCCAGAGGAGCAGGTAGGGAGGTTTAGCCCTTGTGTTTGGGTGTGTGTGTGTTATTTTCAGGGTTTTATTTTGTTGGAAGAAATAGTTCCTGTGCTGATTGTTTCTCTTTATCAGCAACAGTAGCTACCAGTTATCCTAATCACAGCTGCTTTGAATAAATGCCAGTAAGTGTCACACAAACCATGTGTAGCACAGGTTAGCTTCATAGTCCTGCATTAGCGGATTGCAGGGTGAGCCACAGCTCCAGTAATTTCTAGATTATTGAGTTCAGTAATTCTAATTCATTTTATTTTATTTTTTTTTCATTTTGAGTTTGGCTTGTTTGTTTACGATAGCACTGTTCAGGAACTGATGTCTGGTTTATTTTAAAGTTTTTTATTTGTTTATTGTTCATTCCAAGGACTGGATTCCAAATTCAGTACTTTCTTAGTTTTTATTACTTCTATGTATGTTTATTTTATATGCATATGAACTGTTTATGAATACTGTCTATTCCTCCTCATACATGGAAAGAAAAGCTGTATTTTTACTGGCTCAGAAAAAGGTTTGCCCTTTTTGTACAAGTCATTTGCTATTTTCTTTTTCTTTTTTAACTCAGTGTTCTGAACAAGGTCTAACTGCTCAAGAACAGGCCTTAACTGCTCAGCAAGCTGCTGTTATTAACCTTGCTGGAATAGGAGGCTTTACCCAGTCACAGGCAACTGGTAGGTAAATCACTCTTACTGTTGAAATCTCACTGGAAGTTGTATTTTAGAAGAACCTACCACTTTTTGCCATGTAAAAGTACTTCTGGACCAAGTCTAGTACCAAGTTCCATCGGGCTGAAAGAAGAGGTCATGGAGGGAGACAGGGCATAGCTGAGGTGCTAGAGTGCTTCAGTGCTGGATGCAAGGAGAAAAGAGACTCAGGACTTCATGGTTAACCTCTTCTACATAGTGAGTTTGAGGCTAGCCTAGGATGAGACTGTCAGCAACAACAAAAACTGAAGAGGGAATACGGTACCTTAGCCTGGCAAGTCCCTTCCCTCTGTATGGTTAGAATGTTCTGGAATCAACAATACCTTTAATTAGCAGGAAACTAAATTTATTTTGAAACATTTATGATTTGATACTGAAGGTTAATTATACTGCTATTTTTTGGGGGGCTTTGTTTTTTGTTTTTCATTTTCTATGTTGTACTTTTCTAGCTCCAGTTGCCTTCAAACTTTTTGACTGGCCTGCTTTCCCCTTCTCCCTCTTTAGTGTTGTCTCAGCTTGGCTCTGCTGAGAACAGACCTGAGCAAAGTCTTCCTCCGCAGACACTCCAGCCCTCCTCTGCCTTTCAGCAGCAGCACCAGCACCAGCACCAGCACCAGCAGCTACAAGTAATCCAGCAGCTTCACTCTGGTTAATTAAGACACTGAGCTCAAAAAGTACTGTACACTGCCTTTCTGTAGGGCTGCTTTCCTGTCTGTTGAGGCTGAAGCAATTGGTCAGTAACTTAGCCAATTTTATTTAGAAGTCTGACATTTTAAATGCCAGTCAGCTTGGAGCACTGAGTGTATAATAATTCATACTTTGTGAGGTCTTGCTGGCACATTCCACACATCCCTCTAATGTGCATTGTAGTTTGAAAGTTTTAAGTGTCAACTATTAACTTTATAACTCTGTAATGTGGAGGTATTCCAATTAGTAAATGTCATGTGTTTAGAAAAATGTTCCTATTATTTTAGGAAAGGATGTCAGCATACTGTGATCAACTCCTGACAGTTGCTTTATTTTGCTATGAATTATTGTACAACAAAATGGTAACTGAAATTGCTGTATTACTGCAATATGGACTGCCAGGGCTAAGTAGCAGATAACTGTTCAAGCCCTCAGCAGGCTCCTGCACTGTCCTGGTTTGGGGCAGTCGCCTTGTTACCGAATGCTTTCTCCTTCCCAGGCTTGTTTACATCACTCCTGGGGAAGGCACCTTGTCACACCTGTGTGTTTACCATATGTGATCTCTTTTTTTTCCCCTCCCTTTTGCAGCAGTTCATCTCTTTTTTTTTTTTTCCCCTCCCTTTTGCAGCAGTTGCGATTCTTGCAGCATCAAATGGCTATGGCAGCAGCTGCTGCACAAACAGCCCAGCTACATCGTCACCGGCACGCAGGCGGCCAGTCAAAGAGTAAAATGAAGAGAGGCATGCCAACTACTCCAAAATTCTGAGTTACTTTTTTCTTTTTTACAAACACAAGACCACTGAATGAAAAGAATTCTATTTCTACTCATTTTCTCCCTAAGATGCCAGTATTTTCCATTGATAATGTGCACACTTTATACAGAAGCACACACTGTGATTCTTATGTGGAGAATGTTTTCTTACATGGTTAAATGTTTCCCTATACATACCAGCTACAGAAATAATGTTAAGTACGAGAAATAGCTTTCAAAAGAATGTAATTTGGTATTTATTTAGTATAAAAAGCCTGTGCACAGTACAACAAATACAATTTTTACAGCTCTGTTTTTCAATTGTGGTGGCTGTTTATTTGTGTTTCATGCTCTGAATTACTTCATCCAGTAGCTTGTTTATTTCTTTGTGTCTCGTAACTGCTCGACTCATGCAGTCCTGAAGTTTAGCTCCAGTCAGTCCACTCCCACCTGAAAAATTATGCCAATATTCGGTGTTCCCATTAATTATTTTGTAAAAATTAAAAATCATGTCAAATGGTTGTTTTAAATGAAACATATCATATAAATCAAGTGTTGTGGTCTCAAGATCTGCAGATTAGTTTTAGGAAGACCTATAGAAGACAGGTATGTCCTAAGTTTAAGAATGACACACAACCCTGAAGTAGGCAAGAAGCCATAAACTTACAGTAGCTAAACAATGCCCCACACCGCAGTTCCTGCTCCCCAGTGTCTCAAAGCCTTGGTGGAGAGAACATACCTGGCTTGTGAAGACAACACAGCTTGCCTTCCTCATCTGTTACTACTGTTAAGGTTCCTGTTGACAGCTGTTCCTCCTCTCCAGTAGGGTCAACTATCAGCAAAGTGCTACATGAAAAAGAATGTGGGTTCGGGAGAGGCACATCAATGTCCATTCTAGGAATAGACCAATCTCATACAGTACATGACACGCCTGCTTCAGCCTGGGCGTGAGAGTGCTAATCTAGGGCTGGAGGAAGCCAGAGCAGCAGCGCCCTGCAATCTAGTACTTGTAAACACTTTGCCCTTCAGCTTGGGGTCATCTTCGCAGGTAGTCAGGCCTGGAGCACAGCTCAGCAATGGAGATCTTGCCTAGTAGAAACAGGTGCCATGTATTTCCTGTCACCACTTAGGAAAAAGGCATTAACCTAGGGGCAAACAAGGTGAGCAGAACTGGTCCTGTACATCAAGATACCTGAGCAAATGGAAGCTCTAACTAAAGGAACTGCATAGCAGGGCTCAAATGTCCACTGCAAATTAGGGTTTATGGCTACCTGGTGGACATTTCTTGTAAAGACAGCTAAATAACAAGCCATTATCTTAACTTGGGATCTACAGTGTTATTACACTTGGTTAACTTACTCATCAAACACAGCAAAGGAAGTTGCAACTGGTTTTGTTCTGACATTCAAATAACTTTTCTTCTTTAAATTAACTTCTGCTAAAGCGGTTTCTTCATTTATAGTAACTTCAGGCAACTGCACTAAAAGGCAAGTGTACATATAAAGTGAGTCTGGTACATAGCGTGGCTTCTGTGCTTTAACTTTCCCTTCCACTTAGCGTATCCATAAGTTATTGGTTGATTTGACAAGATCTCACCAGGTAGACCATCTGGCTTGGAACTTACTCTGGGATAAGAGTTGTGTGTTGCGCACATGGTATCAATATAGTTTTAAGTACCTCATAACAACTCAGATAAATATGGAAGAGGAAAACATTTTTTCAGAACATTTCTTGTTCTGGCCAAGATGATTTTTTGTTATTCTGCTTTGTTTTCCCCGGACAAGAGTTGTAGCCCAAGCTGGCCTGGAATTTGCCTTGTAGACCAAGCTGGCCTCAAACTCAAGATCTGCCTGCCTTTGGCTCCTTACTGCCAGGATTAAAGGTATATACAACCAGCACAGGCTTAAAGTATCTCCTATTTTATAATACTTATTTGGTCATCCACTCTCCTATGGTAAGTGCTCCTCGGCACCATTTTACTACAGAGGAAGAAAGCAGGCTGGATTGCTATTTAATTAGGACCATATAATAGCACTATTAACTGCATCTTCCCCGCTGAAGTAGTTGGATATTTTATTGAGAGAGGACCCTGTTTTATAGTCTTAACTGGCCTCAATCTGCCATCCTCACCTTTTGTGTCCTGATTACAGATATAAACAACCATGCCTGTCTTAGTTTTATTATCAACTCAGCAATGTAGAATGACCCGGAATATGTACAAGTGAAATTATAAGACAGAATCAAGCTACCTGGGCCCTTACTAGGAAGCATCGCTATCAGAGATGATACTTACGGTCTGTCTGCATGAGCCACCTGAATTACAAGTAAAAATCCTCTACCCAAGTCAGTGGATTCTGGGAATGACTGCTGCCCTACTACAGGTGGAAAGAATCCAAGCAATTTTAAAAGGCTATGAAACTAAAAGAATATAAAACTAGGAAGTACATTTTAGAAAACCCTGTAAAGTTGACTAACTCTAGAAGAACAACCTGGGCAAGGTAGTTCATACAATATTATCAGCATGTGAGAGGCTGAGGCAGAAGGATAAGGAATTCAAGGGCAGCCTGGGCTACAGGATACTCACAAAACAAAAATCCTGTGAATGGTCTCTCCAGAAAACTCTTTAAAAGGTTTTGACCAGCTGGACTCTGACCATGTTAACAGGAAAATTATCTTTTAAGGTTGCTTACCATTCTTTAAAGCTGCTAATAAAGCAAACGTGCAGGCATCCAAAATGTTTCCATCGTAGTCTAGGCAAATAAGGTCACAGTACAGAACCCAAGCAAGCTAAAATAGTTCACACAAAAGAAATTAGACCTGATAATAGCATATGGCTGTTTCCTTAGACCTAAGTATTATAGAACCATTGGTTATACAAAACAAGAGACTTCTTGAAAGCCGAAAAAAAATTTTTTTTTAACTTTTATAAAGTAGGAAGTCAAAGTGGCCAGGTTAGGAAAGCTAGGTACTAGCAAACTGACAAGTGACAAACTTGTCTATTCTAAATAGACTAATAGGTGCAAAGAGGAAGTTTTATTCTTGCTTTTAGATTATCAAATGAAAGACTAAAACCTGTGCCTCATTATGTGCAATGAAGATTTTATGGTGCTAGTTAGCACTATAAATCAGCAAGGGAAGCCACTGTTATACATACTATGTGGGTTCACCATAAACATCGCAAGCAAAACTGAGAAAAGTTTTTTTTTTTTTTTTTTTTTAAATCAGAAAGGGGTATGTGTAACCTTAGCTTTAAAGTTAGCTCCCCAGACAGGTTATATATATATATATATATTTATATGTTAACTGGACATGATGGCACACACCTGTAATCCCAGCATTTGGGAGGCTGGGAAAGGAGGATAAGCAGGTAAAGATCAGCCTGGGTACACAGTGTGACCCCATCTCATCAAACTAAGTAAAATCCAGTCAGACAGGAACAGGATTTATGAATAATCATTTATTTAGACAAATATGGAATAAAACAAACTTAGAGAATTTCTTCTAAACTCTAGAATCTCAGGGTTCCAGGTTGTTGATGGGTTTAATCCCCACTACCATATCAGACCACACAGCCACTTCAGAGTTCATAAAAGCACAGTTTGTTCTTACCTTGCCTGGAGAAATGCATAAGTCCTCTTTCTTAATTATCTGTGAGCTTGATTTAATGATAAAGAACACAATAAATGTGAAGGCAAAACATCTGATAATGAACAGTGGTAAAACTTGATCATATTAGTCTTACTTTTCAATGACATCTGCAATGAACTGGCTGGTTACTTGAGCCTCTTCTCCAGGAGGTCCAGTTCGAAACCTCGATGAACACAGCGGTGGTAGATCCACATTAGGGACTGAAAGAAACACTGCAGCTATGAACTAAATTGCACCCCTGACAGTTGGGGTTACTGGTAAAGGGACTGCTTGCTGCACAGCACAGCTGCCTGGCCATGGGTAGACTCTTCAGGTAGAAAGCATGGCAATATCAGGAGTACATTCTTCTCAGATTGCCATTCTCAGAGAAAATTTTACACTTTTCTGATGTTTTTCCACAGTGCTTAAGAAGTTTATTATGCTTCAACCACAGTATTTTACAGTTTTTCTGGTTTCTTCCCCCAAATACCTCAGTCTGTAGGATGGTCCTCTGCTCACAAGCAACTATTAAAGTTTCAAATGTTGGTTCCTACCTTAAAGATAATCCAAAACCAAAAATATTGTCCAGTATTCTAAACAGAGTGCAGACAAGATTTCAATCTATAATGATGGCCTTTACCTATAAGGACCTCTTGGGTAAGGACAACAGAATATGTAAACAAATATGCTCATATGGGGTTAGCAAAGTTAAGTTCATGTGATGTACTATGCCTCACCTCTGCTAGTAAGTAGAAAGCTCTGCGTTTTGTTTAGTTTTTTGGGGGTTGGGGGGAATCTATTTCTGAACATTGGGAATTGCTATCTACCTAAATGACCAGGCCTTCCCTACAGAGTTAGCTTTAAACTTACTCAAGTATTTGTTAAAATTATAAAACCATTTAACTCACCAACATATCCTTTATCGGGGGCATCTACTGGTGGTGCTGCAAATTCCTATAAAGGCAAATAAATGTATTCCAGTGAAAGAGGCCACTCAAAAACTATGAAGACATTCCAGCCATTTACTGAGGCTGTACCAAAGACCACGTCAGCCAATTATCCTCTCTCATCTACAGTGCTTAAGGAATTATGGCAGGGCCCTAAGGATGATGACACTGCCTTACCATGGCTCCCAAGGAGATTAAAGGGCTGTGTAGTCAGACTGCTGCTCATCAACGAGGATCAGTGGGAGTCTTGCCTGCCCTCTGTACACTTGTTCACTAGCCAAGAATCTGTATTTATTCCCCAAGTGACACGGACTGACTTGGAAGCTAATAGTGGTCAAAAGTGTCTCCACTAGCAATAACTGGCCCTGCACAGCTGAAGACCCACACCTAACAGACTGAGAAACCCGGGGCAAGTTAACTGATCTTTCCTAATGAACAGTACCTGTCTACTCCCAGGGGCTATTCCCAAGGCTCAATTGAGACAGTGCCATTACGTTCACAGCATGAACCTGGCAAGGGGGATGTGTTCTGACAGTTATCACTACAGCTAAACAAGGAAAATTGCTCAGTGTAACATCAGAAAGTACAAGTTTCATCATCAGACTCTGCCTGCCTTCTGCTTATAGGTAATTGTGTAAAGCACCTAAAAAAAGCAGCCCATCAGCAAACTATTCCTATGTGACTGACAAAAGCTGTCAATGGCTAAAAGGTATTCCAGTAACAATCTCAATTTCAAAAATGATATTGCCAAAAATCTTAGAAGTATGATGAGCTCAGGAGACAAGGATTTGCCTTATAAAGCATTAATGATAGATGTTTAAAAACATAAAAAAAAACAAAAAAAAAAGTTGGGGAATTTTAATTCTAGATACTGACTTCTGATTAATTACAACCTCATAAGCATGAAGTGAATTTGGAATCCAGCTATCAACAGACATCCAGTAAACCTACCGCTTTAACTCCACAAATGACTGTGGTGTTCCCCAGCTTCACGAGAGCAGAACCATCTGCCGTACTGATGGAACCTGGTGAGCACAGTATTCATAAAAAATGTTTAAGAAAAAGAAAATACCCACAACGTTTCCTACAAAGTAGTTTAAATGCTCTAGTTTGTATGGTTATCTTGCCAGACCTTTTCACTTGCCTCTGGAACTGATAGGTTCCAGTCAATGACTTAAAAAAGACTTAAAAGTCTTTTTCTTCTGTCCCCCAATTTGAATTAAGTTAGATCAACAAGGCTGGTATAATGATGAAAATCTCATAACATCACCAAATGCCTTAGAATAGTGAGCTGAAATGACGTGTATTTTCACCTATGTTGACAGTTGTCGTTCTAAATTCACCAAGTTCTCTTCCATCAGGACGGCAGTTTTCTTTCTAAATGTTTATAAGGGAATAGATTATTTATGCAGCAGAAAACACATTACGCGTCATTAATATAAATAGACTGAAGCATATATATTTTACTAAAAGCTCTAACGTACAAAATCAAATCACCTTTACTCACCAGAAATCTCCTGTAATACTCAAGCGGCTCCACAGTTCTGAAACATGTTTGAAATATAAGTCAGTGCATATACTAGAGCTTGGTAAACCCAGAACTTAAGTGTGGTACTGAGGCACCAATCTCTACACGCTTAGGTTTCTGAAGCTTTTAACCATGTTTACAAAACCTTACAGTAGCAACCGGCTTCCATCGGTGACCCTAACTGCGCCCTAGTCAAGAGAACTGGGTCACATCACTCTGGCTCCGAGGCAGGGCGCTTCGCATCTTCACGCAGTAAGCCGCGCTGGCGGCACCTGCGACTTGAACGACCACGGAAGACGGCATTTTTACAGTTACGGCGGATACGTGGGGCCCCATCAACCACACGCAGCCAGAAGTTACAGCAGACACCAGTTTGCGGGTTACACGCGTGGGCGGCCCCGAAGGTTTCAGGGTCCCTTCCGAAGGCGGCAGTGCGTGGCTAAGAGGTCGGAACGGACCCGGGGGCGCTGCCCCTCAGCGCCCGCGTGGACAGAGCGCCCTGCGGCCCCACGACTCCTCGGGGTCCCCCACCCCCGCCCCCGGCGGCCGCCACGCGCCACACCCGCCCGCGGGCCCCCTTGGCGCGCGCCGCCACTCACTTGAACCCGGCCGCCATCTTCCCGCCCGCGCTGCGCCTGCGCGGCCCTCGGCGCTGCGCCTGCGCCCGCCCCCCGCCAGGCGGCCTCCCGCCCAGCGGCCTGTGAGGAATCCCGGGTTAGCGGCCCGCTTCCTCCCGCGGGAGGCTGCCGGGATCCCGGGTTCGGGGCCTGAACGCCGGCCCCGGCTAGCCCGAGCGTCCGCTTAGGACCAGGCCCGTGGAGGTTCAGCTCACAACCGCCTGCCGCGCCAGCCCCCGGGGTCCCGCGCCCAGGTCCCCACGGGCCTGCGCGCACGTGCACACAGCAACACACACACGCGAAATTAAAAGGGGTGACCCTGAAACAGTCCACGGCGCCAGGCGGCCGCAGACGGCGTGCGGGCGCCGGCCCTGCACTGCTCGCGGGAGCCGCGCGGGGGCGCTGCGGCCGGCGGTCTCCGGCCGCTCGGCCTCTCCTGCGGGGCGGGGCGGGGCGGGGCGGGGCGCCGCGCGGCGCTTCCGCGAGTGTGGAGCTGCGGGATGGCTGCGCTGCTGCTGCAGCTGCTGGGGCTCGGCGTGGCGCTGGCTGCAGCCGCGCTCCTTCTGGTGAGGCTGTGGTTGGAGTCCCGAGCTCCGGGGGTCCCCTCCGCAATTCCTTCTCGTGCTGCCCGGGCCCCGTCCACCCACATCCCCTGAAATCCTTGACCCTTTGTTTCCCCTCTTTTGGATTCTTAACTGTCTGAGTGCCTAGTGCCCCCACCCAGCTTCTCGGGACCCCTGTCCCTGAACCCCCGCCCACCCAGCCTGTCACTCCCTCTAACCCCCAGCCTTCCTCCGGGGCCTCCTGTGTGCCATGTACTGCAGCTGGGAAGAGAGCAGAGGACCCAGAAGACTAGGGACGGTGGGTGAGCAAGACGCAGGCCCCAAACCTCCTTCTGTTCCTTTTGGCCAGGGGTCGTTTTGTCCCAGAATCAGGTACCCTGGTATTTCTTCGCCATTCTTACAGAAACGTTGCAGACTCCCGCTGACATGTACAGGAGGGCAGATTTGCCAACTGAACTCTGCCATACTGTTTGGAAAGAGCCTGCCAGTCGTTGAGAAAACGGAGATTTTGGAAAGCTTCCTTGGTTTCGAGACTAGATGGCTAGACAGTTGGCCAGGAAGGCCTCTGCTGCCTTGCCATATTATGAACATACACAGTATGACTTTGTGCTGGGTGTCTGGGTGAGCCAGGCTCCGTCCCTTACTGAAATGCTTGAAACAAATTTGTTTTGTTGGCACAATTCTGGGTTGTGACAGCCTTACTTTGAATGTGTCGCATAGATTTAGATGTGTGGACTGTACTAGACCCTACTGGCTTGAAGTAGTAGATCCCACTGGCTTGAATTGGTAGAGATATACAGTATTTTTTACTGCGAGCATGTTGTACTTGGTGTGTAGCGCGTTGCATCTTGAAACTCATCTTACTTTCCGTCCACCTGCTGGCATTCTTTCTCTCCACCGTGCCCCACTTTTTAAAATTCTTTTAGAAAATTCCAAATATCATTTCATCTCTAAATCATCTGCATTTGTTTCTATAAGGACCCTTAAAAAAAAAAAAAACTGCAATAAGGCAATTCCAACTGTCTTTGAAACCTATGATTTTCGTGGCTCCAAATACCCTGTGAATTTAAATACTCTTGAGTTTGCCAGTATGGATTTCATCTTTAACTTTGCCCTCCAAATTTCTTGTAGGATCTAGAGATTTAATTAAATGCTTATGTGAGTCTGTTTTGACGGGTTTGGGGTCTCTTGTTTTTTTTTTTTTGTTTGTTTGTTTTTAAATGAAAAGTCCTCAGGTACCCAGTCACCTGAAACACGTTTACATTTGGAAGCACAAGTTTTTAAGATGATGAGATGTTTCTCTGTCATCTTAAAAAGGTAGCCAGCTTTTATTTTTGTATTATTTCATACTTAAAATTTTCTACATTTCCATTCATTGTAGTGATTATTCTTTTCATGCTGCAATTCCTTCCTGAGAAGCACCTTTAAGTGACCCACCTACTTGTCTCTTTCCATGCAGCCCTGGTAACCACCACAGATAGATTTTGCTTTCTCTATGATATGCTGTATTGACATACATTTTCCACTCCAGACCCAGATTAATTGTTTTCTTAGGAGCATTGATTGTTCTCTGTGGAAAGCTGAATTCAGAAGTCACAGTCTGGACAATAGAGTACACAGCCGGACTATTTTTTTATTTTATTTTTGTTATTTTTAAGTATACATGCGTGTGTGTGTGTGTGTGTGTGTGTGTGTGTGTGTGTGTGTGTGTGTG